CAATCCCTTGTCCTCCATTCTCCTCTTGAGATCTTGGGTACACACGCACATGCGCCCCGCGTGTTTAAGCCACCAGGTCCGGGACTCAAACCGCGGTCGACTACGTGGGAGTCCAGTGACATAGCCATTACACTAATTGCTGGTCCCTAAAATAATTCTTTAAAAAAGTAAAGAAAAAAATATTCAGTATTCTCTAGTACTTGCTCAGTTCCTCTTAATATCTAACTATAACTACCTCCACAAATAAGTCCAAAGGAATGGCAATGCTTCATTTTATATTAATATTTCTTGACAAGCACTTACTGTGCTTTACTTTGAATTTATATTTTGCTGCACATTTCGCCTTTTTTACCATTACTTTGTAAACTCCTTAAATATGAAACTTACTCATCCTTATATATATTACTGTATGGTTAGCAAAGTCATGACCTATTTTTCTATGCAAAAATGCATCATGACTTTTCCAAGGACCCAATACATTCCCAATGATCACATAGGCAGCAATGCTTAAAAGATGGTTTTAAGGGGCTGGCATGTGGCATAGTGGTTAAGATGCTGGACTTCCACCTGGTTGACTGAGGTGTTTTGTTTTTTTTTTTTTTTTTTTGAGATTTTTCCTAGCCAGCAATGACTGGGTCAAGAATGGGCAGATGGTCGGGACCAGCAGTTAGTGTAACAGCTATGTTGCTGGACTCCCATGTAGTTCACCACAGTTTGAGTCCTGGACCTGGTAGCTTAAACTCACGCCGGGTGCGTGTGAGTTTTAAGCCACCGGGTCTGGGACGCAAACTGCGGTCGACTACGTGGGAGTGCAGCGACATAGCCATTATGCTAACTGCTGAGTTTTGAGTCCTAGACCCAGGAGTTTAAAACTCACACCAGGCATCTGTGCATGTGGGCCAAAAATCCCGAGAGAAGAATGGAGAAGGGATTGCAGCATGCCATTCCCCCAGGGGATGATTCCTCACTTTCTGTTTCTCCATCTCTCTTTGTTTCTCTGATGAGCAAACATCCTATAGCAAAAATCATCCACTCCTCAAAAATGTACAATGAAAACAAGAGAAAAAGTACTAACTATAGGCCCTTTTGAGCTATTAACACTACTAAAATGGAACAGATATATTTTCTCTTAATAAGTATTGGAGAATACTCTACTTTTCAAGATTTTTCTGAACTCCAAACAACTGAAAGCTTGAAATAAAAAATCTGTCTCCCAAATACACAAATCAGGTATACAAATTTTACCTTCTCACATTTTGCCAAAGTAAGATTTACATAAATATTTAAGTTTGTTAAGAAAAATAGAAAAGTAGATAACACTTTAAATAACACAAAATACAAACTCTTGGGTCATTGGAAAAGTAATGACACATTTTTGCATAGAAAAATACATCATGATGTATGATGACCCAATATTAATAAATGGTAGATCTAAAAATAATTGATCAAAAATAGTTGACAATTAATTTAAAATTCAAAAGCAACTTACTCTATGTCCAAGACCATAGATGGATTGGATTGCTCCTTATCTTGCTCATCGTTATAGAACAAAATTTTTTTGCTGCTTACGACAACATACTGAAATGGGAACAAAAGCAAGAGTTACAAGAGCAACATTAAGTTGGTTTAAAGTGACAAGCGTATTTGCCATTTATGGCTACGTTGTGTTGTATTAATCTAAAATCAATGCTAGCAAATCATAGAGCTTCAAAATAAAATACATTACAAAGTATCAGAAATTAAAAGAATGAAGTTTAGGCCACCAAGTGGTATGGAGGTTAAGGTGGCTAGATCCTACACAGCCAACTGCATGGTTTGAATCCTGAATCCAGTGGTGTGGAAAAACACGCTGGGTGTGCGGGATGCCCAAAATCTTGAGAGGCAAAGGGATTTTGGAGTGGCTATCTGACCCGGGGATGAGTTCTTACTTTCCATTTCTCTCTCTCTGTCTCCCCTTTAGTTTTGCCATAGGGCACATGGCAAAACTAAAAACAAAAAGTACAAATTTCTATGCTTCAAAATAAAATACATGGGCTGTCTATGTGGCCTAGTAGTTAAGGGAGCAGGACCCCACATGGCTCACTATGCTGTTTGAATCCTCTTCTGGGCGGCTTCAGAAACACCATGTGTGAGTCCAAAATCCCAAGAGGATAAAGCAATACAGAAAGGATTGTGGCATGACCAGGCCCCATTGGGAGTGCATTTTCTTTCTCTCTCTTTCCGGCAAGTATATGTGATCTCTAGCAATTACAGAGAATAATAACAAAGTATTAGAAAAAAATTACGCATATGTGTACCTGTTTCTTCCAGCCATATCGTTTAATATTTCCTCTATTTGGTACAGAAAGCCAACCTTCAATTCTTGACTCTAGGAGAAAAGGAATATACAGTAGTCAGTATTAAATTGTTAACAAAAGGAAAAACTATTACAGGTTGTCTGACAGCATGCAGCAACAGGCAATTTAACACAGCTAAATGAGTAAGTGCCAGAATTTGCTCTTCCATGCTTCAATCACACAAATAAACTTTGATGGCCATACAAATATTGCAGAAAATAATTCCAAGCCACTTTTCCCATAAAATTAACATTCAGTGCTCAATTACAAAACTATGACGTAACAATACCCTTAAGAGCCAGGCAAGACTGGAATGGATTGCAGCTTAAATGGGATATGATATAGAAGACTTTAAATATCACTTAACATTCATATAAAAATATTCAGCAAAAAAAAAAAAAGAGAAAACAAAGGAAAAAATATGCAGCAAGTGGAACAAATCAGAGCCATGATTTACACAAGAAAGAGCAAGCAAAAGTACAGAAGTATCCTATTACTCACAGAAGACAAGAATAGAAGATAAATAAATAAGGAATGCAGGCAGAATCAACTAGATATAAAGAATAAGAGACAAGCATTTTATTTGTTTTCTCAGTACAATATTACGATAATCTTACTGGTAAAACACCTGTAACAATTTAATTAAAACTATAAATCTAGTTGGGGGGGTGGCCCTTAATTCTAATGGTAAGTCCAATTACAATTCTTCTCAAAACTAAAGAGGTGTAAAGCCTTTTAAGTGTGTAAGGCCATAATTTAATAAACAGTAAAATAACACAATTCAGTTGGTCAAATGCTTGTATTTAGCCCAGTCTGTGCATATCAGAAACTCCTTGTCTGTTTAGCTCAAAGGATTTTGTAATAGTTATCAGTACTGTTTAAACATAACTAATGTTTATTACAATATCTGAGGGGAGAGGCCAGGAGGTGGAGTGGTGGTTAATGCACTGAACTCCCACGTGGCTGAACACGGTTCAAGTCTTGAACCAGGAGGCTTGCTTTCTCACTCTCTCTGCCTCTCAATGGTGAGTGTATGTGCCTTGTAGCAGACTGAACGTAAAAAATCTGAGGGAATAAAGATGATTCTACTAGAGGTGGTTATTTTATATCATGCTGTAAATAATCAAATTCATGCAATTTAAATGCTTTCTATGTCTATCTGACTCTATTAGAAACATAGAAAAATACAAAATAAGTCAATTTTAAAGTATGATGCTGGGGCCAACAGGTGGCAATCCTACATGGCCTACCATGGTTTGAGTCTTGGACCCAGCAGCTTGCTCTTTCACTTTCCCTCTCTCTCTCTGGTCAAATTTAATAGTAATGGGACCAGCAGTTAGTGTAGTGGCTATGTCACTGGACTCCCACGTAGTCGACGGTGGTTCGTGTCCCAGATCTGATGGCTTAAAACTCATGCCGGGCATGTGTCCGTGCGTGCCCAAGATCCCGAGAGGAGAATGGAGGAGAAGGGATTGCGGTGTGGCCATCTCCCCTGGGGGTGGGGTGGGTGGTGATTTCTCGCTTTCTGTCTCTGTCTCTGTCTGTCTGGTGAGCGCACGCACCCTATAGCAAAAACCTCTCCAAAAAAAAAAATAGTAATAATAATAAATCAAATAATTCTTTAAAAAATATGATGCTATAATGTGACAGATTACACTATGACTGAAAACATAATACTAATGGGAATTTTTGTTGTTCCTTTCCATATAACTTAAAAGCTGTAAAGCTCAATTGTAATAGTAACAACAGGTAACATTTACTAAACATTTATAATTTTCCAAGAGCTTTACAAATAATGACTTATATTTAATCTGTGTATAATTTCAATATACAAAAGAATATAGGATATTACATTCCTGGGAATATAGGATGGTTCAACTATCATCCACCACTTATAAATGAAGAGACTAAGGTTTAGAAAGGCAAACTCACTTACTTGCCTGAGGCTACTCTATCAGTATCTGTCAAAGCTCTGGGGGGAGAGAGACTGAGAGAGAGAGAGAGAGAGAGAGAGAGAGAGAGAAAGTAAGCCTTCAGGTCTAGGATTTGAACTGTGGTCACCCAGCTGGGAGTCCAGCACCCTATCAACCATGCCACCTGCTGGCTCGACCAACTTTTTTCTTTTCTTTCTTTTTTTTTTTCTTTAAAGAATTATTTTATTGGGAACCAACAGTTAGCATAATGGCTATGTCACTGGACTCCCATGTAGTCGATGGTGGTTTGAGTCCCCGACCTGGTGGCTTAAACTTACACCAGGCGCATGGGCTTGTGTGCCCAAGATCCCGAGAGGAGAATGGAGAAGAAGGGATTGCGGCATGGCCATCCCCCTGGGGGGTGATTTCTCACTTTCTGTCTCTCTGACTCTCTTTCTGGTGAGCGCATGTGCCCTATAGCAAAAACCTCTAAAAAAAATAAGTGTCAATTAAATCATCTTCTGAAAATAATGGTTATAATTTGAAAACCAAATGGGCAGTTTTATATTAAATAACATGTGGAAGACTGTTAATCATGTACTGACCATTCACAGGTATTTTATCTTACAAAAGTCAAAAAGTTATTGCTAGGAAATTTTCCCATCAGTGTGGCAAAAGCTGCAGCTCTTGTTTCAAAGTGTGATTTGCGAACACTGATCTCAGGCTAGCCTCATGGTCTAGTGGTTAAGGAAGCCATATCCCACAGGGCCAACCATGCAGTTGGAGTCCAGGCCCCAGCAGCTTGAAAACATGCTGGGTCACGTGTGCTTGCCTGCCTTAAATCCCAATAGGGTGGAAAAATAAAGAAGTGATTGTGGTGTGAGCACACCCCATTGTGGGGGAAGGGTACTGGCCCTCTCTCTGTCTCTGCTGAGTCTGTGACTTCTGGCAATAACAATAATAATAAAAACAGCAATAAAGAAAAACACTGGGACCAGCATATGGACTAATGGTTACGACACTGGACTCCCACATGGTCAAATGCAGTTCAAGTCCTTGACCCAGTGGCTTAAAACTCATGCTGCGTATGTGTGCATATGTGCCCAAGATCCCAAAAGAAGAATGGAGCAGGATTGTGCATTGGCCATCCTCCCTGGGAATGATTTCTCTCTCTCTCTCTCTCTCTCTCTCTGTGTGTGTGTGTGTGTGTGTCTCTCTGGAGAGCGCACATGCCCTACAGCAAATATCTCTTTCCCCACCCCTCAAAAAAGAAAAAAACTGATAGGAACAATAGAATGAAAAGTATCCTTAATAGTTGAGGATACATGGCTGTTTAATATCAGCAATTTCTCATTGACAATGAAACACATGAAAGTCTTTGAAATCTTTTTTTTTAAAGAATTATTTATTTTTTAATTAGACTGGAGAGAGAGAGACACACAGTGAGAGAGAGGGCGGGGAGTGAAAAAGCAAGCCACCAGGTCCGGAACTTGAACCGTGGTTGGACATATGGAAGTGTCTAGTGCCTTAACTACCATGCTACCTGCTAGTCTTCAGTCTTTGAAATCTTGACATATTTATATAAAATGATGTGTGCCCAAATACCCCACCCACTCCAGTTATTTTTCCTGGTGAAAAAATTCTGCTTCCATCTTTAATTCAAAGAGTCATCTATCTTCATGCACAAAAGAAAAATGCAGTCATCTCTAGGACTTATAGTACCAAAAAAGGTCTAGACTAGGAAAGTGAGATTAAAATCTGGTTGTGGTCAAATTTTATTTTTCTGGTATCAGATGAATCTAGCTTGTGTCTAGGAATCATGCTGATCATAGATTTATCAACTATTTAGCATCGTTTTGCCTTTCTAAACCCATTAGTCTTTAACTCTTCCTATCAAGAATGTCCATATCCGAGTCCACTGGATTTTGCAGAAGTCTGCAGATGTTATGGAGGCTTTCCCAGAGCCAGGTCTAAGTGGCATAATGCTAAGACCTAGAATTCCCACCAGGGTGGATTTCATCTTCAACTAGCCCACCAAAATGGATAATTTTTTCTTTTTTTTTTTTAATTTTAAGATTTATTTATTTATTTATTTATTTGCTGCAGGGTGCATGTGATCGCTGGAAAGACAGAAAGCAAGAAATCACCCTCCCCCCTCCAGGGGGGATGACAACACTGCAATTCCTTCTGCAGACTCCTCTCAAGATTTTGGGCATGTATGCATGTGCGCCCAGTGTGAGTTTTAAGCTGCCGGGTCTGGGACTTGAACCACAGTCAACCATGTGGAAGTCCAGTAATGTAACCATTACACCATCTGCTGGTCCCTTTAATTAGAATTTTTATGCTGAATGATAAAATCTAAGAAATAACGAAAGTCATAGGATTAGTTCATCTACCTAATTACTAAAAAAACATATCATTGGGACCAGCAGTTGGAATAATGGCTATGCCACTGGACTCCCATGTAGTCGACCGTGGTTTGAGTCCCAGACCCGGTGGCTTAAACTCATGCCCGGCACGTGTGTGTGTGCCCAAGATCCCGAGAGGAGAATAGAGAAGGGATTGCGGCATGGCCATCCCCCTTGGGGGGGGTTATTTCTTGCTTTCTGTCTTTCTGTCTCTCTCTCTGGCAAGTGCATGTGCCCTATAGCAAAACCCTCTCAAAAAAAAAAAAAAACAAAAAACACATATCATTAAACTAAAAATATGACCCATTATTTCAAAAAGTTCTTACTTTACTGTTACATTAACTTAATCCTCTTTAACTTGTAAATTCATTTTCTAAAGTTAAGTAAAAATTAATCATTAGTCATTATCTTCAAGAAATCTTTAGACATCCAAATGATGTGTAACATTCTCACATGAAGAATGAACATCACGGGGAACCAGCAGTTAGCGTAATGGCTATGTCGCTGGACTCCCATGTAGTCGACTGTGGTCCGCGTCCCAGACCCGGTGGCTTAAAACTCATGCCGGGTGCGTGTGCGTGCGTGCCCAAGATCCTGAGAGGAGAATGGAGGAGAAGGGATTGCGGTGTGACCATCCCCCCAGGGGGGTGATTTCTCGCTTTCTGTCTCTATGTCTCTCTCTGTCTGTCTGGTGAGCGCATGCATCCTATA